GCATGAATGAAGTATTAAATTAAGCATGAGTTAAGTTTGGAGCATGTATAGAAATTGTGTGAATGAATATGATTGTATGCATGTTTTGTGTTCTGTTTCCAAGAAGTAGGTCTTACTTATAAGATATGTTGTGCACTGTTGTAATTTCTGTTGAGCTTGAAAATTTGTGGGTTGATGATCTTGTGAGTCTAGTTAAAGCAAGAATTGGTTTCATGTGGTTATCTTGTGTAGTTTAGAAGTTATGCTTTGATCTTTGAAATATGTTATGGCTAGACTATGGAATTCCAAGGAGAATTGGGGTTCTTGTGACTCTATGTTGACCTACCAAATGATCTCAAAATTGTCTTAAATTATAACCATTGGAAAGATATCTGAGTCTACTTTGAGTTTGATGTTTATGTCCAGTAGATATTCTTGATAGTTTAGAAGATGTGTTTCATTTTGTACTTATATGTCACTGTTAACAGATTGTGATAATTTTCAGAAATATTGCTTTTGTTGTACTGAGACTTTACCTGACCTATTGAAGTCCAAATGACACGAAATCATAGCCATTTGAAAGATACATGAGTCTATTATGATTTTGATGTTTTAACCTGGTTCTAATTCTGTATAATTGTAAAGTTATGATCCAAATTGTGGAGGCATATTATTGATTAGCAGATTCAATGAATTTTAGAACTGTGACCTCCATTGCCATGGGTTTTAGCTGATCAAATAGAGTCCATTGCTCCAAACCTCCGCCATTTGAAAGATCAGTATATTAACTTAAAGTTGCATGTGGGTATCATTTTGAGACGCCTTCTAGATTGAGAGTTATGCCTTTGATAACCGGGATATGTATCTGTAGTAGAATGCAGGAATGTCAGCACCAATATTTATGTAGTGCCTAAGTGTTGATTAATCAAATGGCTATCAATTGACTTCATACCACCTTTGGGTGAGAGATAGCTGTGTTTGCTTCAATTGTCATGTTGTGACCAAGTTGTGATTCCTTATAAACCAAGTGCTATGCTCATTTTTTGTGAACCTGCCACACATGGAATAGGGAATATCATGAAACTGTGAATACTATAAATTAGTGAATGCTATGTGATATTCATGTAATGAATGTGAATGCTAATTAGTGAATGTTATGTGATATTAAAGTAATGAATGTGAATGCTAATTAGTGAATACTGTGTAATATTCAGGTAATGAATGTGAATGCTAATTAGTGAATGCTATGTGATATTCAAGTAATGAATGTGAATGCTAATTAGCGAATGCTGTGTGATATTCAGGTAATGAATGTGAATGCTAATTTGTGAATGCTACTTGATATTCGAGTAATGAATGTGAATGCTAATTAGTGAATGCTATGTGATGTTCAAGTAATGAATGTGAATGCTAATTAGGGAGTGTCATGTGATATTCAGGTAATGAATGTGAATGCTAATTAGTCAATGCTGTGTGATATTCATGTAATGAATGTGAATACTAATTAGTGAGTGCCATGTGATATTCAACTAATGAATGTGAATATTAATTAGTGAGTGCCATGTGATATTCAAGTAATGAATGTGAATGCTAATTAGTGAATGCTGTGTAAAATTCATATGATGAATGTGAATACTATACAATGAGTGCCAAATAGTGAATTTCATGTGTTAATTTTGTAATAGGCGTAAAAGCCGAGTGATGGATGTCAAGTGAAGTGTGACCTGATGTTATGCTTCAAGCTTGACCCTTTTGTGTATGATAATTGTAAAAGAGATTTAAGTGATGCTATGCACGGGCCACCCGTGGTAGTATGATAATGAGGCCGACAATATTCGCCAACTCCCTATGATAGGAGGGGAGTTAGGTTGGAAGTGTAATGGGTAGGTCGCGCCCCCTGAATTTCAGTGCATTATAAAAAGATATAGTGAACCGTGTCTTGCAAGGCAAGTTCCTATCAAAAGCCCCAAAGCGCATTGGGGACTGGGTGCGTGAGTGCGAGGGCATTACTGAATGGGTTACTCATTGTCATTTCCCTCCCTCTTGAGTAATGGTAGAAGTCCTAAACAGTAGGATTAGCTTGGCCTAATGAATAGGGCCTCTACTTCGAGAGTAGGTAATTTAAGAAGTGCATGATTGATACTTATGTATGTATGTGAATTTTATTTAATCATGCTGACTGAATGATAGTTATGATATGGTTTCCATCACCTGCAATTAATATGTTGATACGTCTGTTCTCTTGTTTGTGTTGATCTGTTGAAATCTGATAGATTGCTAGTGTATATAATATCTGATATCTTATATTGTGCCTGCTCTACCATGAAAAAACATCATTCTATAATAGTGGCATTATTGTGATGCATGATTCCTGTTTTATGAGCATGACTTAGAATCTTGATCTATGTTGGGAGATGGTATCCATAGGAAGGGAAGCATGATGATGTGATCTACTTATTGGCCCTTTTAGTTCATTCATTTGCTTCTATTCTTGTAGTTTGACTGCTGCAGGTCAAGGACGACGGGAGGTGATCGTGTTTGATGGACTGAAAGCCCACGCTCGACGAGTGGATCTTTGTTCTTGTGTGGGTGTTTCCTAGTTGTCGGCCATACAGTTGTTGTATTATGAAGTTATGTATTTTGTGGTTGGGCCTGTAGTGCCTTGGATGAATTGTGATATTCTGATTATTGTTTATGACCTTGGAGACTGCATATTGATATGAAATAGTTTTATTTTATCTAGCTTTTGTTATGTTTCTAGTGGGTGTTTTGCTTTGTTTCGTGGTATGTACTGATTACCGTTTTATAAAGCGTTGAGCCACTCTAACCTGAGTGGTGTACGCGACCTCCGATTGCGATCTCGCACTTTGCTGCCTTCACGTACGGGACGACAAGAGTCAGGGGGCGGGGTCGTGACACATTTTGAGTCCCTTAGAAGCTATGGGAGAGGCCGAGCCAAATTACTCGCCAAGCCTGAGTGGACTTAGGTGAGTCTTGTCATACACTGAGAGAGAGAGAGAGAGAGAGAGAGAGAGAGAGAGAGAGAGAGAGAGAGAGAGAGAGAGAGAGAGAGAGAGAGAGAGAGAGAGAGAGAGAGAGAGAGAGAGAGAGAGAGAGAGAAGTAGAGAGTAGAGTACGTAGTAGTACGTAGTACGTACGTAGTACGTACGTACGTACGTAGTACGTAGTACGTACGTAACGTAGTAAGTAACGTAGTA